AGAGCAAAAGGATTACTTTTGTCTTGCAAAGTGCACTTGCTTGTAATTTTGGTATATTTGCCTTGCTCTAGTGATCTATGCTCAGCTTTTTCCCTTTAACCACTAGTCTCTTCTCCCAGAGAACAGCTTTTGAACAACTACTCTGATTCACAAAGACACATGAAGATTCTCCTGCAACGTAGAACATTTCATTTTTCCCTGCTGAATTCAGTCAGCACTTTTCTGACTACTCTCTGTCTTAACTCAAGCGCGTGAATTCACATACAGTTCTCTGAGGTACCATCTGCCCTTTTCAGCTTTGTTGCCTGTAGGTTTAATAAGTTGATCTTCTATCTGAGTTTGCAAGTTTGTTAGTAAAGACATCAAACACAACTGGACTCAGAACTGACTCTGAGTGGAGACCAACTATGTTTGAAAAAGACTCTCCATACATTTGAAGACTAAAGCCAATAGCACAGGTTGTGTATGGAATACCACACATCCACCCCTTTCCTGCAAACATTTTCACCATGTTCCTTCCCTGCTTGCACAAAATCTCTCCAGGAAGCTCTCGTGTAAAGGATTTAGAGGGTTTTACTCACCCTTTTCCTAGCAGCATCAGTAGAGAAGATATAAATATGGAAGGGGGAGGGCAGTTGAACAGTTAGCCTTGTCTCCGTGTAACAACTTGCACAATACAGCTTGCTAAAGGATGACTATACATGGTCATTTTAAACTGAGCTATAAAAAGAGCATTATTTCACCACAGTAYATTCTCTTGTGGCCAAATATTTGATAGCGTGAGTTATAGAACTGGAAGCCATTTAAAAGAAAAGAAAGTGAAATATGCATACCCTTATATTCTCTAGTAAAATACAATCTCAAACTTATAAGTTAATTTACATTAATTTTGTTCATATATTAAAAAAATAAGTCACTTAAAGTTACACTGTTTACTGCCTTGCATCTCTTATATGAAGAACTTGCATAGTTGAAAATATGATACTATATAACAAAGCACTTCACAAAGACTTACTATTCACACCACAAGGGTTTTGATTTTCTTTGCTGCGTGGTTAGAGGTAGAAGAGGAGGGAGAGCACAGGACACCAGACTGATGCTGCCTGTGCAGTATTAGTGAGCCCGAGCTTCTATTCAACAGGCGCTTCTGCCTTTTGTTAAACTGCAAAGCTCAGGTTAAGCTGTGGTTATGCAGTTTTAATGGGGTTGTGCATAGAAAAGGAGCACATAGCTGTCAGGGAAGTTTTTTTAATTCCTCTTAGGAGGAGAGGAAAGAAAAAAAAAAAAAAGAAAAAACTTATCCAGAAAATATGTTACTGCTTGTAGATCTTCACTTCATGTAACAGCACTAAACATAATTAAGCAATTGAACTGTCAAACAACTTCCTAGGCTGAACTTTCTACCATGATAAAGCCCTAGACATGATAATCACCACCAGTTTCCCTCTCTGCCACATAGAAACTTAGTGAATCCAGTGCTGGCACTAACTGAAGAAAATGAATTTAAAGGTATCTCTGCAAAGAGCACCTATTGAAAGGTCGTGCTATCTCTCCTGACAGATAACCTTTCTTCTCCCTCAATCGCACCAGCTCCGCAGGTCTCTGATGAGGCAGCGAGCGCTGTGAGCGCATCCCTGTCAGCAGGGACGACCCTCGAGAAAATGAGCGAGCAGCYGATTAAAACCAGAGCAGAGCCCTGACCCGTGCGGCCTACCTAGTTAGAGAAAAGAGACGTCAGCTGCCTGCATGACAGCAGAAACAAAACTGTGTTACAGGTAGGATCCTTTTGTCAAGGAAACAATTACCAAAATTCAGTAGAATAAAACAAGACTCCAAAAGGGGAAATGTGTAAAGGCTGGAAGTGTTAAGACCTCACTTCCCAAGGTGTACTTGCTTCCACATTTTAGCACAAGAGGAGAAATGAAAAGCAAGGTCTAATTAGCCTTGTGTCAATCGGGTTCTCAAGCGAGGGAGAGAACTGCAATACCTGCAGAAGATCTGATGAGAGGCCGGGTGACCGCGGAGCCTGCGACAGCAGCCCCCGGAGCACGCTATCCACACACACCAAACCCACCCAGGCTGGACGGCCATATTCCATTTGGAAACAATGTCGAGCTGCTTCACGGTCAATAACTGGCCAAGGTGAGCACAGCTGAGTTAAGGAAACAGCCCTAACAGACTTAAGGGGGCCTTAGGATGCAACAAGTTGAGTCCCACCTGGACATGGGTCCAGGGACATGGAACATGACCCTAACTCATGGGTCCAGCAGTCCCCCATCACCAACCCCACTGCACAATTCCAGGGGCTCCCCATGCAGATCGGCATTTAAGTCCTTGATTAAATCTATCCTCTTTAACCCCTCATGAACCCTGAGTGTCTCTCTACACTAGTGACGGACCCTCAGTTTCCCATCTTGCAGCTACATCACGCAACAGCTGTATGGCAAATATTTTTCCACTCATACACCAAAGTAGAAGTGTTATTAATTTCAGATTTAAGGCTTAAGATASATGATGCTAATAAATACCTCCGTAGTGGGACACAAGACTACTCTTTTTAATGGACCAAGTCTCTGCTGACAACCAGTATGAATTTTAAAAAAGTGAAATATACAGTATGTGTATTGTCAAGATCTGACAGCTTTTGGCTTTTGATTTTTCTCATGTTTTGGGATTCTTGCAAAATTTTTCACTCAAGTTTTTCATTAAGAATTTAAGAAAGAAACTTGACTATTCCAAATTAATAAACTTCCCATAGAATAATATCTTTCCCTCTTTTGCATATAAATATATAGGCTGCTAACCACTAGCCTTTAGTGGCCTTGAGCTCTGTAAATGCCCTAAACATAACTTCAAAAAATTAACTTGTACTCCTGATTGGTTATCTCTCAGTGACTTTTTTATTATTATAAGTTGTCTCTTCTGTTAATGTAATTTCGCATAGAGCCATTAGAAGTTTCTTTTTGCATGTTGCAGTTTTTTTTTTTTTTWWWA